CCAGATAAGTTGTGGAAGATTGAAATCACCGGCTATAACATATGCAAAATCAGGAAATTGATTAAATATAGATTCTAAATCGGCCACGTGGTTCCGATAAATGTTAATATCAGATGTAGGGGGAATGTAAACTCCTCCAACAATTAAATTTAAATCGTTAACCTGTATCTTAATAAATACACTCTCAACGTTATAACCAGAAAAAACACACGATGAATTAAAAAGTTTATTAACCGCTACCAGTACACCACCTCCCCGAGATTTCCCACTAGTGTTAATAGTGCGATCAGCACGGTAAATATTGTAATTACTTAGCAATAATTCTTCATTACGTATTTTGTCACATAACCAGGTTTCCGTGATAATAATAATATCATAAACACAAGAATTAACCTTTAAAGAGAAATCTTGAAGTCTAGTCCGTATGCCACCCATATTTTGAAAATAAAAATTGATTACTTTTTTGAAGTAGTTCCCCTAACTTTTTTCTTTTCAATACATGGAGTGTTATTTTTGTACTTCAAAGAAAAAAAAAAATAATCGGAGAGAATCCGAAAGTATATGAAGAATCCAGGAGGATACGAAGGAACAGGCCAAATTTGTATAGGATCAAAGAGAATCCGGAAGAATCCTTTAGAATCTGGGACAAATACCAGAGAATCTGAGAGAATTTGAAAGAATTTGGGCGAAAGCAAAAATATCTTAGAAAATCTGATAGAATCCGGAAGAATCGGAGTGAACCATAGAGAATCCAAACATAACTTTTAAGAATTCAACGGTATTCCAAAGAATATAAAAGAATTCGGAAGAATGCAAGAGAATATGAGAGAATTCGACCTAATTCCGAAAAGACAGGAGAGAATCCGGAAGAATCCTTCAAAATCCGAGAAAATCTGCAGAATCCGGAAGAATCCGAGTGAATTAGAGAAAATCAGAAAATAATTCGAAAGAATTCAACATAATCGGAAATATGTACTACACTAAAGAATCTGAAAAAATACGAGAGAATCCAGGGAGTCGGAGACACGAACGAATCCGAAAAAATCCGCAAAGAATTTCAAAGAAATTAAGAAAATTCGAAAGGAAACAAAAGAATGACAGAATTTCGAGAGGATAAGAGAGAATCCGGGACAATCCTAGAAAATACGTCAGTATATGAAAGAATCCGAGAAAATCGGACAGAATCTGGAAGTATTCGAAAAGATACAAGAGAATCTGAAAAAGTCCCAAATCCGAGAGAATCCGGAAGAATACGAACAGAATCCCAAAGAATACAAGAGAACCAAAAAACATAAAAGAATATGAGAGAATATGAAAGAATCCGGACGTGTCTATACTTGTAATTTATCATTACATTCATATTTTTTAGATTTGACAGAATCTTAATAAATAATACGCAAAGAAACCGAAAAAAGATGGGATAATACAACGAAGTTTAAGAGAATTGACCAAACTCCGATATGATCGAGGAGAATCCGGACGAATACGAAAGAATCCAGGAGGGCAGGAGAGAAACTGGACAATAATACACAAAAAATCCTAAATACCTAATACACGATAATATGAGAGGATTCGATTAAATTCCGAAATAACCGGAGAGAATCCGAAAGTATATGAAGAATCCAGGAGGATACGAAAGTAACAGGCCAAATTTGTATAGGATCGGAGAGAATTCGGAAAAATCCTTAAGAATCTCGGAGAAATACCAAAGAATCTGAGAGAATTTGAAAGAATTTGGGTGAGAGCAAAAATATTTTAGAAAATCTGATAGAATCCGGAAGAATCCGAGTGAACGAGAGAAAATCCAAAAATAATTCTTAACAATTCAACGGTATTCCGAGTGAATTAAAGAAGATAAGAAAATAATTCGAAATAATTTAACATAATCGGAAATAACATGCTAAATAGTCTGAAAAAATACGAGAGAATCCGAGAAAATCGGAGATCCGAAGGAATCCGAAAGAATACGACAAGAATTCCAAAGAATATAAGAGAATTTAAAACAATACTAGAGAATGATTAAATTCCGAGAGGATAAGAGAGAATCCGGAAAAATCCCAGAGAATACGAGAGAATTCGAGAGTATGTGAAAAAATCCGGATGAATATGAAAGAATTCAAGAAAATCAGACAGAATCTGGAAGCCGAGTGAATCACGGAGGATCCGAATATAATTGAAGAGAAATAGACACAATTCTAAATAATACAAAAGAATCCGAAAAAATCCTAAATCTGAAAGAGAACAAAAAGAATACAAAAAAATATGAGAGAATATGAAAGAAACCAAGAAAATTTGGTAGAGTTTATAACTATCCCAATGAATCAGAGAGAATTTGAAAATAATTGCAAAGAATTTGACAGAAACGCAAATAATCCGAAAAAATGTGAGAGAAGTCAACAAAGTATAAGAGAGTCGGCAAAATTCCGAGAGAATCGGGGAGAATCCGGAAGAATACAAAAGAATCCGAGAGGAAACGAAAGAAACTGGCCAAATTCAGTTAAGGTCGGAAAGAATCCAAAAAGGAAAACGAAAATAATACGAAGGAATACGAGAGAATGCAACAGAAACCGAAATAATTTGAAAAAATCCGAAATTATTCGAAAGAATTCGAAAATAATTCGAAATAATTAGACAGAATCTGAAACAATAAGAGAGAAACCGAAAAACTCCGAAATCAGAAAGACATTTCGATCAAATTCCGAGAGAATCGGAGGGAATCCGGAATAATGTTAAGAATTTGAGAGGCATATGAATAATAATAATTCGGAAGAATTTAACAGAATCCGAAAAAATAGGTAAACAATCCGAAAGAATACGAAGAGAATCCCAAAAGAATCCAAAGAATAAAAGAGAATCCGGAAAAATGCAAGAGAATATGAGAGAATCCAACTAAATTCCCAGAGGATAAGAGAGAATTCGAAAGAATCCTAAAGAATCTGAGAGAATAAGAAAAAATCCGAGAGAATGTGAAGGAATCCGACAACAATTGAAGAGAATTTGACACTTAAATAATAGGTATACAAAAAATCCCAACGAATACGACAAAGTCCGAATAAATTCGTGATTCGAAAGAATGAAAGAATCCGTAAGAAACGGAAAGAGTCTGCAGCAGAATCCAAAAGAGTTTGTCTGAATCAAAGAAATCGAAAATAATTCGAAAAAATTCGACATAATCCGAAATAATATACAGAGTCCAAAAGAATACGAGAGAATCTGAAAAAAATCCAAGTCCCGAGAGTTTCCGAAATACTACGAAGAGAATGTAAAAAGAATGTCAAAGAATACACGATACCTAATATGAGACAATTCCACCAAATTCTGAAGGGACCGGAAAGAATCCGGAAGAATCTTTAAGAATCCGCGAATATACAAATGAATTCCAGAGAATATGGAAGAATCCGGATGAATCCGTAAGAATCCGAAAAAATCTGACAGAATCCGGAAGAATCCGAGTGAATCAGAGAGAATCTAAAAATAATTCTTAAGAATTCGACAGGATCCCAAAGAGTATAAAAGTATCCGGAAGACCGTAAGAGAATATGAGAGAATTCGACCAAATTCTGGGAGGACCGGTGAGAATCCGGAAGAATCCTTAAGAATTCGAGAAAATCTGACAGAATCCGGAAGAATCCGAGTGAGTTAGAGAAAATTAGAAAATAATTCGAAATAATTCAACATAATCGGAAATAATACGCTAAAGAATCTGAAAAAATGCGAGAGAATCCGAGAAAATCGGAGATTCGAAGGAATCCGAAAGAATACGACAAGAATTCCAAAGAACATAAGAGAAATTGAAAGAATACTAGAGAATGACCAAATTCCGAGAGAACATGAGAGAATCCGGAAGAATCCTAGAGAATACGAGAGAATTCGAGAGTATATGAAATAATCCAGATGAATATGAAAGAATCCAAGAAAATCGGACAGAACCTGGAAGCCGAGTGAATCACGGAGGATCCGAATATAATTGGAGAAAAATAGACACAATTCTAAGGAATACAAAAGAATCCGAAAAAATGTGAGAGAAGTCAAGAAAGAATAAGAGAGTCGGCCAAATTCCGAGAGACTCGGGGAGAATCCGGAAAGAAACAAAAGAATCCGAGAGGAAACGAAAGAAACTGGCCAAATTTAGTTAAGGTCGGGAAGAATCCAAAAAGGAAAACGAAAATAATACTAGGGAATACGAGAGAATGCAAGAAAAACCGAATGAATTTGAAAAAATCCGAAATTATCCGAAATAATTCGAAAATAATTCGAAACAATTAGACAGAATCCGAAACAGAACGAGAGAAATTAGAAAGACATTCCGATCAAATTCCGAGAGAAGCGGAGAGAATCCGGAATAATGTTATGAATTTGGGAGGCACACATAAAAGAATCCGAGAGAATTTCAAAGAATCTGGATGAATGCGGAGGAATCCAAGGAAATCTGACAGAATCAGAGAAAATCCGGTAATAATTCGGAAGAATTTAACAGAATCCGAAAAAATAAGTAAACAATCCGAAGGAATACGAAGAGAATCCTAAAAGAATCCCAAAGAATATAAGAGAATCCGAAAAAGTGCTAGAGAATATGAGAGAATCCGACTAAATTCCCAGAGGATAAGACAGAATTCGAAAGAATCCGAGAGAATACAAAAAATCCGAACGAATACGACAAAGTCCGAATAAATTCGTAATCCGAGAAAATTCAACAGAATGAAAGAAAATATAGAAGAATCGACCTAATTTCGAGAGGAACGGGGAGATTCCGAAAGAAACGGAAAGAGTGTGCAGTAGAATCCGAAAGAATCTGTGTGAATCAAAAAATTCGAAAATAATTCGAAAAAATTCGACATAATCCGAAATAATAAACAGAGTCCAAAGAATACGAATAAAATCTAAAAAGAATAATTTCAATAAATAAAAAGTTCGAATTCGCGCCCCACCCCCACGCATGCGCACTCCGCAACCCACATTCTCAATGTCATCCTTGTCATAATACTGAAATTAAATGTGAGGTTATAAGTGTGTCAACAGGAAGGAATTTTGTGTTTATTTTTACGTTAAACCCAAACACGTATCAAATCGTTCCACTTCCTCCTGCCAATTTTAATTAAGTTTCACAAGTTTCGTCAAATGTTCCAATAAGTAAATTATGTCCGCAAGCATTTTACAAAAGCTCATCAGGCAATCGCATTTAGGTCAGTCTGTAATTTGAATAAAATAAACGCTTTTCATGTAAACGATTAATCTTTGCCGTTATACGAGTTTCGCTTACGTCTTCAGAGGCTCCAAATGATAAAAGTGTAGGTAGATTACTTTCTCTGTTATCAGTTTGACTGTGATTTTAGAGGTGTTAAGTGATATTCCGCTTTTTTCAGCATATGGTCGAATTGGCTCGAAAATTTTGCTAAATCGGGGTCCGATTAGTTGGAATAAGTTTTGTAGAGGTGAGTCTGATTTAGTTTTATTGCTATCTTGTGTAGATAATTTAATTATGATTTGATTAGCACAGAATACATTTATAGGTGCAACAAAATTGTCTGGCTGAGTTATTATGTAATCTGATAAGGTATTTGGGACGATTTTTAGTGTGAAAACAACACTTTTGGTTGATGTTATTTTTGAGTTATAAATAAATCATCTATTTGAAAAATTGAGTAGTTTGAAAATACTTACACTTTTTTTTTTAATTAACAAACGCTTATAAGGATGTCGTAAATTAATTCAGAATGAAAGCACCCATTTTTAATACAATATTTGTAGTTAACATTATTCCAGACATTTAAATTCACCATAAGAAAATAGCTGTAATTGTTGGATAGGCAACCCATGTTACACCTACGCTAACATGGTGCATAAACACGAATTGTAATGTATTTTCATACTGTTTTATTACCCGAAAACTTTAAACAAATAAGAATTAAAGCGTAAACTTTTAGTATTATCTTTCTGCTAATTACTTACTAATTAGCTTCTATACTAGCAAGCTAATTTATTACAAAAATTACAGTACCACAAACCTAGAAACAATAGAGAGTAGGCAAACCATAAACAAAAAATTTATTGAGTGACTAGAATTTCAAACTTCTAATAACTCAAACAATACATTCTACAAAGAATTCCACTTGATAACAAATATCAATTATATGGTTACCATTCAATTAACACTACTTAAACTGCCACAATTATTACCGCAGCTTAAGCGATTATATCTTTTGATAACACATTGTCACCTTAAATACAAAGATTAAACCACCAGTCTACGAACTTCTGGTGTCTATAACACATTCACCATGGGTTTCGTGAAAACCCTCTTATCCCACAAACTCCTTATATTGTTCATCGTAGCCACAGTAGCATTCGCTATAGCGACCATAGTTTTAGCCGTAGAGAACGCAGACTTGAAGTCACAACTGGACGACGAAAATCTTGAAGTAACCACGACGGCACCTGTAACCGAAAAACCAGTGGACATGTCAAAGTACCGCCTTCCAGCCGTTGCAGCACCTACCACCTACGACCTCTACTTATACCCGGACTTGCAGACCGGACTTTTTAAAGGAAAAGTTTCGGCTGACACCGACATCACAGAAAACACAAATTCGGTAGTTCTGCACAGCAATCAGCTGAATATAAATAGCGTCCACATAGGTGAAGAAGAAGGTGTGTTTGAAATTGATAAGGATTATGAATTGTTGAGCGTGCGGAAGAGAGATGGGTCCAACTTTGAAAAAGATTCGAAGGTTAAAATTACCGTGGATTTTGACGGTGATATGAAGAATAGAATTGTGGGGTTGTATACGAGCTCCTACACTAATCCGGAGGGACAAGTAAGGTGAGAATTTTTTTATTTTTACACTTAAGTAATTATTAAATCGGGCTAAGCTGGCGCATTACAGGCGTTAAGTACAGATAATGACAACATGTCTAAAGCGTTCATTTAAAGATTGATAGGCTGGATAAAAATGTTGAAAGCTTATAAAATAAGTCTCTATAACAAATTAGCTAATCCTGACGAGCCATACGTGCAATTTAAAGGATTTAAGTTCTAATACAACCCCAAATCAATAGCGTTATAGTAGCTTGTAAACACAGTGTTATCTTTATGAGAAGTATTTAATTTTTAATTTTATTTATAAAAGTGTTCAGAGTCTATTAATTTTGTGAGAAGGTTATGAAACCGATGGCCTTTCCTTTTAATAACCATGACCACGGTTAAAAGTGGAAGTGTGTCGAAACACAGTCTTTGTTAGATTGTTGGTTAATTAATTGATATTGTCCCTCCTGTCTTAGTTGTAGTTCTATAAATTTTCTTTACATAATATTTTGAATATTTTAGTTACCACATTTGTATTACGTCATAGTGTTGACATTTTCGTCTTATTTCATGATTAGTAGTTTTCCGGGTTATTACTTGATGGTGAAATGAACTGCCACTAGGACAGCGTAAATTACTCAGCACTGCAACTACTAATACTGTTTTCCTTAACCTTCCACTGTTTTTGTTATATTCTTACTTTCTAATCATTACCTAGTCGATATTTCTCCGTACTATTAGAACCGGAAAGGAAGCAATTTCAACTTAGAAAACATTGCCAATTAAGGTTTTTCTGCGTCTTTGCATACAGATAGTTTCGTATTCCTTCCTAATCCATTCCAACCTGCGGTTCCTCCCGTCACGACGCTCCTATCAAGAACGAAAAAATCGGATCTGCACCAAGTTGAACACTCGCTTTTTACTTTTGAATATCTGAATTTTTTTAAACGAGAATTTTTTACTAAAAATCAATCAAAATTAGGTGATTCATTATTTTATGTGTATTAGGATTAAGGTTAATGTAAGGATGGTAAATCGTTTACGTCCTTCCCAAAAAATGTTTACGTTATTTTACAATTTTACCGAATTTTCTTTAAATTTTACAGAATTACGGAGTCCTGCATGTGTGATTCATGAATCCGTGTTGAGTTTTTACTCTAGACGTCCAGGTTTTTGGGAAAAAAATCAAAATAGTATAACATTTCACAATTTAACTTTGAAATTGCAAAACCTACTAGTTTTCAATTTTTCGCTTGAATTTTTAAAGTTCGATATTTCGAATTTTAGATCACTCGATTTTCGATTTCTCGAAGTTTTGCACTTCGATTTTCGAATATTTGATTAATCGATTTTTCGATTTTTGAAATTTCCGATTTTCCGAGCTTCGGTTTATCGATTTTCGAATTTTTGATTTTCGTTTTGTTAATTTTTCGAAATTCGAATTTTGATTTTTTTTTTTACTTTTCGCTTTTTCAATCTCTCAATTTAATTTTTCGCCTTTACGATTTCTCGAATTTTCGTTTTTTCACTTTGATTAATAAAATTTTCAATTTTTTTTATTTCTGATTTTTGAATTTCTCGATTTTTCGATTTTCGAATTTTTGGGTTTTTGATTTTTTGATTTTCGATGTTCCATTTTCTGTTATCCGATTTCTGGATTTTCGTTTTTTCGAATATTTGATTCATCGAATTTCCGATTTTTTGACTTTTCAATTTTTTGATATTTTGGTTCTCGATTTGTTCATTTTTCGAAATTCAAATCGACTGTCCAATTTTTCGAGTTCCGATATTTCGTTTTTTCTATATCTCGATTCCTGCATTTTTCGATTTTTCTTAATATAGATTTTCGAATTTTTGATTTTTTGGATTCTTCGAATTTTCTACTTTTTGACTCTCAATTTTTAGATATTTCTTCTCTAAATCCTTCAATTTTTTACCTTTCCGTTTTTTCACTTTTTTTTTCTATTTTTCTATCCTTGGACTTTTCGATTTTTCTTAATCTGTCTTCAAATTTTTGGTTTTTTGATTTTCGATTTTTGAGTTTTCCCTTTCCGATTTTTGGAATTTCGTTTTTTCGAATTTTCGAATTTTTGACTTTTCAATTTTTCAATTTTTCGATGCTCGATTTATTCTTTTTTCGAACTTCAAATTTTCAATTTTTTTAATTTTTGGTTTTTCAATTTCTCGATTTTTCAATTTTTCGACTGTCCGTTTTTACAACTTTCGAGATTTTGTTTTTTTTATATTTCGATTTTTTGGTTTTCGTTTTTACGAATATTTGCTTCAGCGAATTTTCAATTTTTTGGCTTTTCGATTTTTCCATATTCGAATTTTCGATTTTCCAATTTTTGCATTCTTCAGTTTTTAGATTTCCTTTCAATTTTCGGTTTTTCGATATTATGATATTTAGAGTTTCGGTTTTCGAGTTCAGGTTTTTCAATTTTCAATTTCTCGAACTTGATTAATCGATTTTCTAATATTAGAATTTTCAATTTTTCCATTTTTCGATTTAGACTTTCAGCATTTCTTTTTTTCTGTATTTCGATTCTTGAAGTTTTCGACTTTTCTTAATTTCGAGTTTCGGATTTTTAATTTTTCGGTTTTTCGATTTTCGACATTTCCATGTTTGAATTTTCAATTGTTGATTTTTTTGAATTTTAGACTTTTTCTGTTCTTCAGTTTTCCGATTTTTCAATTTTTTTTATTTCCGATTTTTTCATTGCATTTTCGACTTTCGATTGTTCATTTTTCGAAATTCGAATTATCATTTTTTTTAATTTTTGCTCTTTAAATTTTCGAATTTTAAAAATCCGCCTTTCGGATTTTTCAAATTTTCGTCTTTTCAATTTTCAGTTTCTCGAATACTTGATTCATCAATTTGTCAATATTCGAATTTTCAATTTTTTTAATTTTTCGACTGTTCAGTTTAGACTTTCAGGATTTCTTTTTTTTCTGTATTTCGATTCTTGGACTGTTCGATTTTTCTTAATTGCTTAACTTCGAATTTCTTATTTTTGGATTTTCGTTTTTTCGAATATTTGATTCATGGAATTTCCACGCTCGTATTTTCAACTTGTTTCTTTTTCGATTTCAGTTTTTTACTTTTTGAGATTTCGATACTCGAATTTTCAATTTTTCAATTCTCAGTTTTTAGATTTTTCAATTTTTTTTACTTTCCGGTTTTTTGATTTCTTGAGTTTGTAATGTTTCCACTCTTTGATATTTTATTTTTCGAATTTCCAATTTTTCAGTTTTTACATTCTTCAGTTTTTCGATTTTTCAATTTCTCCACTTTTCGATTTTCCATACTCAAATTTTCAAGCTCTCTACTTTCCGATTTTTGATTTTTCGAATTTTTTATTTTTCAGTTCTATTCTCAGTTTTTCGATTTTTCGATATTTATTTTCGAATTTCTATTTTCCAATTGTTTACATTTCGCTTTTTCATGTCCTCGATTTTTCATTTTTTCCGGCTTTTCGATTTTTCAATTTTCCCTTTTCCGTCTGTTCGATTTCGACTTTCAATATTTCGTTTTTTCTGTATTTCGATTCTTGGAATTATCGATTTTTCTTAATCTAGAATTTCGAATTTTTGATTTTTGGTTTTCGATTTTCAGTTTTTATATTTTCGAATTTTGGGTTTTCCGATTTTTGGATTTTCGTTTTTTCGAATATTTAATTCATCGAATTTTCGATTTTTCCGTATTCAAACTTTCAACTTGTTTTTCTATCAGTTTCTCGATTTCCCAGTTTTTCTATTCTTCCATTTTTCATATTTTCGATTGTTGATTTTTTGAATTGTAGACTTTTCAGTTTTTTTACTTTTCGATTTTCAATTTATCCATTCTTCAGTTTTTCGATTTTTTGATTTTTTTACTTACCGTTTTTTTGATTTCTCGAGGATCTTTTTACTTTTCGATTTTTGATTTTTCAAATGTTCGTCTTTTCAGTTTCTTTACTTTTCGATTTCCCGAATTTTCAATTCTGTTTTCGGTTTTTAGATTTTTCAATTTTTTTACTTTTCAATTTTTTTATTTTTCAAGTGCTCGTCCGATTTTTTGCTTTTTCGACCTTCGGATTTTCAATTTTTCAACTTTCCGATTTTTCCAATAATAATTGATTCATCGAATTTCCGATATTTTCATTTTCAATATTTCGTTTTTTCTACATTTTGATTCTTAGATTTTGAGATTTTTTTTTTAATCTCGAATTTCAAATTTTTGATTTTTCGCTTTTTAGATTTTCGAATTTTCAATTTTCCGATTTTTGAACTTTCGAAATTCGATTTTTCAATTTTTTCACTTTTAGCGTTTTCATTTTCTCAATTTTTTAGTACTTCGGATTTTCTTTTTTTCTATTTTCGATTTTATTCATTGAATTTTCAATATTAAAATTTTCAGTTTGTTTCTTTTTCGATATTACGGTTTTTCAATTTGTCTGTTTTTCAAATTTTCGATTTTTCGAAGTTTTAATTGTTGAATTTTAGACGTTTGTTTTTTTTTATTTTTGAACTTGAAGTTTTTCGTTATTGCAATTTTTTAATTTTTCGATCTACTGCTTTTCCATATTTCGAAATTCGATTTTTCAGTTCTTTTTTTGCATTTTCATTTTCTCGATTTTTCAGTTTTTCGACTTTCCGATTTTTCGAATTCTCTTTTTCCCATTTTCGAATTTTCAACTTGTTCATTTTTCGAAATTCGAATTTTCGATTGTTTTTAGTTTTGTTCCATCAATTTCTCGATTTCAATGTTTCCACTTTCCAATTTTTCTATTTTTTTTCTATTTTCGATTTTTCGAAAATTTAATTCATCGAATTTTTGATTTTTCGATATTTCGAATTCGTAGTATTCTAATTTTCAATTTTTTAATTTCGAATTCTCGATTTTTCAGTTTTTCCATATTTCGACTTTTCGGTTTCAACTTTCAATATCTCGTTTTTTCTATATTTCGATTCTTGCATTTTTCGATTTTTCTTAATCTCGGGATTCGAATTTTAGATTTTTCGGTTTTCGATTTTAG